CGTTCTTTCCCCCGTTCTTCAGTTCCCAAGAAATCACTTTCAACTCCCAAGCGTCGCCCTCAAGAATCCAAGCGTCTCATAATGAGCTGGGGAAAAAATTGTAAGCCTCTCATCCTCGCCATCCCCACATCCTTTATTTCCAAAGAAAGCTTTCGGCAAAACCCCTTGCGAAGACTGATTCCTACGCTACAGAAAGCTGTCGGCGTCACTGGAGGCGAAGGTCATCGGTGTCACTGAAGGTCGACAGGTCGGTCTCTGTGTTTCAATCCCTCTGCCTCTTGGATTGTAATTACTAATCTCATATCTCAAGGACCTGTATCTGATAAATCATTCAGCTTTTACTGAAGCCCTTTTATTTGCTTCTTTAATTTTACTTTGTTTTGATTTGGTTTTCATGGTTAGTTTTAATCACAGCTCTATAAGATCTTCCATTCTTTTGGAATATCAGACACAAGAACAATACATGAGCCCGAGTATCTCCATTAGACGCTTTTACTCATGTTGGAGTTGTGTAAAAATTGAGAAAGCAATTGATTGTAATAGGCTGATAAGTTATTGGATGCTTTTGTATTTTCTTTCTTTGTCATTTTATGAGGTACTTTTTTTAGTTATCTGTTTATTTAATTATGAATATCAATAAATGATGATTTGGGTTTGTGTTTTTATTGTTGTTTGTAAGATAAAGATTCGGAGTTTTGGGCGTTGTTGTTGGCTTGAACACTTTGATGCACAAGACTTAAATCTGCTGGGTGAAGAAATGCAAGGTTGTACATTAAATGTTTGTAAAATTAAATGGCTAAAATTTGACAGTAAATACAAGCTAACATGTTGCTTTTGTCTGACATTTGACATAGTTGATGCACTCTAATTTGACATAGTTGATGCTAATTTGACAGATTTTATTTCTTCCATGAAAATAGCTCATCCTATCTTAGGTTGTCATTTTTTTCTATTGATGTATTGGACTGTTATGGTTTTTTCTACAAATTGGTAGATTGCTCACTCTTTCATTAACAAAAGGAAAAAAATGAATACAAAAGGCAAAGATAGAATTAAAGGTTTTTCTGCCTATACAAGTGTATTTTTTTTATATATAATTATATTTTCTGTTTTAGATCTGTTTGTTTCGTTGTTTATCTTTACTATTGGTAAGTGATGAACTCAATATAATCTTACTAGAATGTATTTCTCTTATATTATGTTTTGTTATTTTTCTCCAATGGCAATGCATTTCACTTCAATATTTTTGTTCTTTCTTATGTTTTATTATGTTTTGTTATTTTTCTCCAATGGCAATGCATTTCACTTCAATATTTTTGTTCTTTCTTATGTTAATATAGAGTATGAGAAAGTTGCATTTTATTTAACTAATTGAGTACTTCTTTTGCCGTATTCTTATGGTTTAATAATGTCCTTAAATTGCAATCATATACTATTTTCTTACACCGACTTTATTTGATTTAAGTATTACATTGTCTCTTATTTTCGTCAGGTATATGTCATACACCCATTATATGATAGATATTATATATTTTTTTGTTTCTTGACATTTTACTTTTATTTTACCAATTTCATTGGAAAGTTATCAATGGTTTAAATATTGATATGACTCGTACAAAAAGTTCAAATATTATTTTTCCATGTTTACATTTTTCCAAACATTTTATTTTTCAATTTTTTAATTTTTACCCGTTTTTGGTACTTTTTTGACATTTTACTTTAATTTTGAATTTTTTCTACCTTATAAATAATAAAATAACTCACACCATATATCTGAATATCGTTTTTAGACATTTACATTTTTCAAACTATATATGATCTTAAATTGATTTAAGTTTTCCAAGCTTTCTAATTTTTCAAACTATATATGCAACTTAGGTTGTATCATTTCTGACTACTTATATATTATTACTGTTTTATTTTGCATTTTTTTGCTACATCAATTTTTGTATATTAAACAAATCCGTACATCGCACGTGCTTGAAACTAGTGTAAATTAAAAAGGACATCTTCATACTTTAATGTCGAGCGTGTGGGCTCTCTCACCTCCTTCGCCTCCCCGAAAATGTGAGCCAACCAATAAGATAATAAATGAAATATAGGGGCCACCAAGATGAAGTATATGATGATGAGCATCTAAAAGTGCAAGTTGCACGCACCGACGCCTTGACTCTTGAGCCCTTGACATAACCTCTTGGCTTTACCCCTTTTTTCAAACTAACATGTCAACATAGTAGTAGTGATTAGTGGACAAATTTTATTAAAATGTACCCAAACGTACAAATGCTTAATTATCATCACAATATCTAATTGCAAAATATTTCTCCCCTCATTTTTTCTTTCTTTATTGTCTTTTTCTAGAAATAGCGAACTTGAAAGTATCTACTTATTGGTACAGACAGTCCACTCTCCAAAATTAAGCACTTTTTATGATAGTGGACGTAAGAGAATTAACTTAAGACTCGTTTTTATGCTCGTGCTTAATTAGCTATACATGAACAGGCATACATTATATCCAACAAAATATAGAGATTTTTTAATATTTGATATAGCGATTTTTTAATATTTGAACTCTCATAGTTAATAAGTACACTGTATGAATATATGATTTGTATCATTTTATAAAGTTTTCTAGTCTTTTTATAGAAGAATAATGTGTAAAATGTGTAAAATGTGTTGCAAACCTCACCATTAGGTCTTGTTTGCCGACAAAACTTAAAGCAAACTTATATATACTACTGAAATAACAATTAGTAATTTTATTTCAGTTAAATGAACCACGTACTTTGACGTAATTGAAAATACCTTCCTCAATCATTAGACATCAAAGTCCTTACACACTTTGTTTGGCATGTGAGAATGAAGTCAAAATGTGAATGGAATGGATGGAGGACTGAAATGAAATAAATGTGAGAATATAATGTTCATTCATATTCTTATGTTTGGGTGTGAGTATAGAATGAAATGGGAATGACAATTTCGTTTCCATTTCATTCCCAGTCTTATGTTTAATATCATTTGTTCATAATTGAGAATGAAATTATTTTTCTAAGAATACCTTATATCAAAACATTCAATTTAAAAAGAAATATTTTAATAATAATGACTAAATAATTTCATTTGTAAAAAATAGTTTTATAAAAATAATTTATATTTCACAGAAGTTATGCCCTTAACAGCATTCACTTTATTATAATATAAATATTCAAGATTATCTACAGCGTAAATCTTTTTAACATTTGCAGATTTCCTGGAGGTGTAATATGTACACATGACAAAAAACTAACTATCATAAAACATCCGTTAACTTCAGATGATTATTAGAAAAATCCCCTTAAATTTAGGGATTATCAGAAAACACTCTTTAACTTTAAGGTTTTGTTAAAAAACTCGCTAAATTAGAGGAATTCTCTGATAAAAACTCCAAGTTTAGAGGGGGTTTTCTAATAAATTTTGAAAGTTTAAAAATAATTTGTGATAATCTCTATATCTAAGGGGGATTTTCTAATACATAAGAAAAATATCTTAATGATCTAAAATATGGGACCATTGGAGGGGACATATGAGGTGTCCCCTCCACTGATCCCATATTTAAATTAAGAGATGTTTTTTCATAATCGTTCAACGCTAAATGGGTTCATTAACCCAAAAATAATAATAATAATTTTAGAGGATCATTTGTGGAGTGGATTGGTCCAAAAAGTGATCCGGTCATGTCTTTCTTAAAAGCACTGTCTGCTGGAAATTTGTACTCGCCTTGAGAAGATGGTCGAGATGAATTGGAATTTTTTAAAGAAAGATAAAATCTACTCCTCTACGAGAGAACCCAAGATTCACTATTAATGTTACAACAAAATATTACAGTAGCATTTACTGTGGCAAATATGAAATTGGACATTGTAGTAATTTTGAAAAATATCACTGTAGCACAAGGGAATGCTGTAGCATTTTTTGAAAAATCTGTAGCAGCGGCGAAACTCTAGCGACCCAAAAATTTAAAAAACATTTACTGTAGTATTAAAAAAAATCAAGGTTTCTGTTGCGAAAAAAAATGATATGTTGTGTTTTGTACGGTGTTCACGACTAGTACTCCTCGAGGAGAGAGACTTTGGATTTTTAAAAGAAAGATAACATACTCTTTGAAGAGAGAGAACCTTCTTAAATCATGAAAAAATAGCACTTTAGAATGTTACTCCAAGTATTACATTAGCATTCCAAAGAGAAATAGGATAGAGTCGAAAACAAGCTGGAGGAAAATTGCATATCTTGATTTTGATATATATCATGATTTTGAGATATCAGCTATCTTTTTTATATCATTTAAAAAGGGTATATTAAGAATTTGTTTCATCATTTTGCTTCTCATTTTAAGCTAGAATGATCATTCTTCGCTAATTCAATGGAAACGCCCATTCTTACGATAATGCGGGAATGAGAATGAGAATGAGCATTTTAGCTTTTAAAAGTATGTTGTGTTTGATAAAACATAAATAAAAAATGAGAATGAATATTCTATTCCTACCATTCTCGTATACTAAATGAGGCGCCAGAGTTCAAGCGTTCTCAGTTTGCTTCAAGTTGAAGTTTGAAAACGAAGCTAAACTTACAAAATGAAGCCGCATAAAATCATCATATGACTTTTCGAGCTTCGATAAAACTACAAATGTGGACAAGTATATTTTTTATCAATTTGATAATTGGCAAATTGCTCTTCTTAGATTATCATTTTTATCAAAATATATTGTATAAGACATGTTTTTCTCATTTGGAAAAGTGAACTTCTATCTCATATATTCTTTTATATTATAAGCAATTTACCAAATTTTCTTTTAAAATTAGAATATTTGCCCAATACTTCATTCAAGGATAGCTTCAGGAATAACTCTTTGTTGGCATACGGCCAGCCAATAAACAATGGTAATGAATAAACTATAAACTATTCTGATGAAAAGCACGAAAACAAAGGAGAGAGAAAAATAACAAGAAAAGGATTTTCCGAAATTGGCACCTGGCGGTAATCCTGATCATTTCCCTGTCCTCTATAAAATCCTCTCCTATTAAACAGAAAACTAGGGACAAAAATCGCCAGATATTGAAAAATTAATCCCAAGATTGCAATCCACGCCAAAATCCAACAAAAGTCCCAACAATAGAAATTAGATTTTTATTTTTAAGAAGCTCTTGCTGCTGCCAAATTTGATTCGCTCCTCTTTTGTTTGTAATGGTAATCATTATTCTCTTCTTATTTTGTCTATTTTGTGGGCTACAATCTGATTCAAAAAACCCTAAAATTTTTCTTAAAATGGGCAGAAAGATCTCGTCACTTTACAAGATCAGTCGCTGATGATGATGAAGAAGAAGAAGAGCAAGGTCCGGGCCTCGAAGAGGTCATTAGGGCTCTCGGCCATGGCGGATCCTTGCGTTTCTTGCACCACCTTCAACATTTTGGCCCCAATATATAAAAGACTCGATAAGGAGGTAGAGAGGATGAAGACAGATGATGGGTATTTATTATTATTTTATTTATGTGAAGATTTTGATTTGGATTCTTTTTGTTTTTGTTTTGTTTTTTGTTTTGTTTTGTTTTTGTTTGTTTTTTTTTGGTCGTGGTTTATAGGACCAGAGCTGCAGAGAGAGCCAATATAGGGCTTATTGGTTTAGCAGGAACCAGAGCATTATTGATCGATTGCTCGATGATCGATCCTCGATCATTTGCCTTCAGGTTTGGATCAATTTCATCTGACCTATGTAGTGATTTTAAGATCTAATATTGGGTTTGTGCAAAAGTTTGATCTTTGGTTTGAATATAGGAGGTGTGGTTGGGAAATGAGGAATTTGTAGATATGTATGAGAAAAGGCTTGGAGACGCAGGGTATATTAGTTTGAAGCTTGCCCGAACAAACAATCGAGGCGATGGTATGTTGTTTTCTGAGGATTATCATTGTTTATTTTGTTGTGTTGAAATCAAAATTTGTGTTTTGATGTTAAATGACGATCTCCTTGGGTTGCTCTATGAATTTTGTTTTTTGTAGTTTGTTTATTATTGTTATTATTTTTATTGGAGGTTCTCATTCCTTCTTTCAGTCTTTTCTTAGTTTTAATTTTATTTAGTAACTGATGTATTACGTTTGTTGTGCGCGGCGCGGAAGCGGGACAACCAAACGGGCATGCTTCGAGAACCAAATCAAACAAACGTCGAGATAAAGGCCAAACAAATCAAAACAACGGCACAAATCCAAACACAATAGTTTTACGTGGTTCGGCAAATTGCCTACGTCCACGGGGCAAGAAGGGGATTGGGTTTTGACTAATAGAGAAGAAGAGTACAAACTGAGATTACAAATCACTCGAAGGAACAAACTAATCTCACCAACAAATCTCTTAATCTCTCCAAATAAACCCTCAAACAATTGCTCAGAAAAACCCTCTTTTTCTGCGCTCCAATATCCCCAAACCAATCTCCAATCCAAGCCCAAGAAACCCTAATTCGTATGTTGGTATTTATGGCAAACATCAAACCCAAACTGAACAGGAAACTCAAACTGGGCCCTGACCCGATTGGCGGTCGACCGCCCAAAGCTCGCGGTCGACCGTGATCCAGCCGCGTCAAGTCCAGGCACAAATCCTGGATCCGTGCACGATCGCGGTCGACCGGCCTTGCGCCGCGGTCGACCGCGCATCACCCAAACAGACTCCTGCGCTTTCAACACTTGTTCTTCACCAAACTTCTCGTGGTTTCTTCAACGTTGGCATTATTCTAGGTGTTCCCTTTTGGATTTTGTAACTGATCATACTTTTAGTTATTCTCTTTCTTTGGCTGCTAGTGATGTGAGGGTTTAGAATTTGATGCCTTGTACATTTTCAAAGAGAGAAACATAACGAAATGGAGTGCAGAATCTTATAATAGAGAAATTATTGTACTATATAATCTCATTACATGAAGATACTTTACCTCTTTCATAACCCAAACAAAAAGAAAAAAAAAGAAAATAAGTGGAAGGTATAATGTCGTATTATTCAAGTAGACATTTTGAAAAGTTAGTACCACCTGCAAAAAACTTTTTTCATTTACCATCAGATTCTATTAGTTTGTGAGGACTTTTTTTTACTACACTATTGCTTTTTGAAATTTATGTTTTCTTGATTACAGGACTTCTCACTGCTGTACATAGGGATTATTTTAGGGTTCTAAACTACAGAGAGTTACTATTTAATGATTTTGGAGATCGGGTTGCTCAGCTGTTGCATGTTGAATCAGTGCTTCCGTTTTGGCAGAGTCGAAATGGGAGCATTCAGCAACAAGTGCTTATTGTAAATACTCATTTGATATTTCCTCATAACTACAGCCTTTGTATTTTTCGCTTGCACCAGGTAGATATCTACTTGATTAATTTATTTTCTCATTACATGATCCATTCACATTCCTATTGAAGATTCCTTCCTTCTTTCTGTTACAAGGTATACAAAATTCTTCAGTGCGTAGATTCCTATCAGAAAGAAAACAGACTCAATCCTACGCCTATCATACTTTGCGGGTACGTTTCTAGTAACAAACATCTTTGCAATTTCAGTGAAAGTATTCCTAATTTATCTCCTTTGCAGCGATTGGAATGGAAGTAAACGAGGACACGTCTACAAGTTTCTTAGGTCGCAGGGGTTTGTATCATCATATGATACTGCTCATCAGTACACTGACAGTGATGCAGATGCACACAGAGTAATAATCTTCGTCTTCTAATGGATAATTGTTTAGGCTCCTTATCAGAATATGCCGAATGCTAAACTTTTTGTCAAATATGTTTCTTGTTTTCATTATTGCAGTGGGTCAGCCATCGCAATCACCGTGGAAATATATGTGGAGTTGATTTCATATGGCTTCGTAATCCTGATAAGTATCAGAAGCCCCTCAAAACAAGTTGGAATGAAGCTCTGCTTGGGATGGTCAAGGTGAACTATTCTTGCTAGTTTGAAATTATTATTTATTTTGTTTGTTTTTAAATGTCAATTATGATATTCCATCAAGTTGGCTGTCAATTTCGAGAGTATCATCATAGCAATATATTTGTTTATTTTCTTGGGATGGTTAGGCTTCTAAAAACATTCTTATGTTTTTTTACTTATGGCCCTGTTTTTATTTCTTATTTTTATCTTTGATGTGCATTTCTTGTTCTAAGACCATTCTAACAATCTAATATTTCCTTTTCAGTACTTGCTCTGTGTAGCTTCTCTTACAGAGGAAAATGCATTTGCCTTTCTTAAAGGAGATAGTCCTGGTGATTATATAACGTTCTCGGGATTTTGCCAAGCACTCTG